ATTGACAAAATTATGAAAGAAGAAAATGAAACACATCAGAAACCAAACTAATATTGGTACTTTGGCACTGTTCTCTCTCTCTCAGCTCATGAAGAGGTGCAGCCTCTCTTTAGAGTTTATCTTCATGAACGTCCATACTGGAAGCTGAGAAGTAGTAAAAGCCAGCTTCACTTACAGCTTTTTTTGAAAGCATCGGCTGCTGAGACTGCTTGCAATGTGCAATTGCACCTTGAATTGGATTTTCAATCTCTGAATTCACGCTGTTGCTTCTCTTGAGAAATTGCAAAGCATGAAACCTGTTTGAGCTGCAAGATGAAGAGTCTGATGACGATGAGGAGTATGAGAACTTTTTTGTTGGATTCTGCTTGATAGCTAACGAGAATGATCTCCTATGGCGACCAGTATTTTCCTCTGTCTTCTTTGCCTTGTCAAAACTCCTCATGGTAGTAGTTGGAATATGGTATTTTTCCTTCTGACTTTGTCCGAATGGATTTTTCTTGGTTGCTTTCATGTATTTTTCTTGACGCTCCTTGGCTTGTGACATTGATCCTTCATCTGCAACTTTTGCTGCTGCTGCACAGGACTCGTCTGAGCAACCGGATTTGCCGAATAAAGCTTTCAAATAAGCCCGGGAAGCCTTCAGTTTTGAACCAATGGAGGACTGCTTGATCAGCTTAAGCTTTTTGGTCCAAGACTTTTTGGGGTTTTCATCAACAAATCCACTCACTTCTGTTGGATGGTCAAAGAAATATTCCTCCGGGTTCAGCTCTCTGCTAACCTGACAAGACTCAGAAGGTGAGATATTGGAGGAATGAAATGGAGTGCTGGTCGTCATTGGTGTAGTGAGAGTAGTGGTTAATGGGGTGCTATAGAATTCATAGAAATTATCATTTTTGTCTTCGTAAACAGAGTTGGAGTTTTGTAGGAGCTTTTCAACCATTTGTAGCCGTGGAGGGAGGTGAAGGGGAAGGAGCTTGCCTTTGTAAAAAAGCTCATCAGCTGGTGAACTTGTGGGCTCTCTCTCCATAGGGCCTGAAGACATTTGAAATTCAAACTCTCTGGCATGTGGAGGGGAGCTTACAGAGTGGCAGAAGTAGTTGGAGAATGAGCTGACTTCCATGTCAATGTAGTCGTCATCCTCCTGGTCGTATGTTAGAAGATTCACAGCCATCTCAGGCACTAGACTCTATTGTTATGGAAACTGAGATTTATGACAGGAAATGAAGGAAAAGGGAAGGGAAGTGCATTCTTTTAAAGTGTTGATGAGGCCAAGTAAGGGAAAGAAGTTGCTACGGAGTATTTGTCAGGATGTGTGTATATCACTAAATGCATCCAAATATAAAATACAAGGCACTTTGGGCATTTGCCTGATGGACCAGCACTAAGTGATGTGTGCATTCCTCCTTTTCCTGAACCTAATTTTTTGTGGTTCCGTTGTTGTTGCTTTTGCATATCAAATTCTAGTGGTCCATGCTTTTTACATGTTCCTAAATTCACAAAGAGATTCATTAATGATTTCTAAACTGAATTATTTAGTTTATCATCTTTATCATGGAGGCTTAGGTTCCTTGTACAGGACTATAGCTGACATCATTAGCATTTAATTATTTTTTTGGGAGGCCAATGCTACTTTTGTTATTTTTAATTTATGAAATATATTAAATTTTGATTAAGATCCCTCAACATTTGGAGACTAGTTTGTCATACTGAAAGAAAGAAATGTTCAAAATTGATCTGATTTTGATTAACATCTGCTTTGGTTTCACAATTGAAATCTTTTCAGATAACAGCATTCATCTAATCTATTTTCACAGAAGCTCTGGGGACAAGATATTCCTAAGATAAGTTTTTCTCAGACCTCATTTTATACACTTTTTTTGGTGATTCACTTTCATATGCTTTGATAATATATGTGTGTTTAAGATAACCCCATTTCCTCTAGGAAAAAGGTTAGCTTGAAGATAAAATATTTGTGCATCACTAAGAGTCCAAGTCCTTACTATTTTTTTTTCTCTTCAATAGCTATTTATCATCGGTTCATAAGTTGAAAACGTGCACAAAAAAATAATTAGATATTTCTGGCATCTTCTGAGACACTCAGCAAGACTTCTTAAAGCAGCCCTTATTTCAAATCAAAACCTTGTTTCCTGCTTTTATCCAATATTTTATTTGGATTGCGTTTTCTCTTGTCTGTCTGTACCAATGTAACTGATTCCTTTGCCAAGTAAAATAATGCTTAGAGCTAGAATCTCTTTATTCTTTACTAGTTTTTACTACTTTTACAGGATTCCTGGGTTTCTTTCCAACTTTTTTGCTTATTTCTTTGGTTGGGAAATTTTCTATGACTTTTTTCTTTTTTATGAGTGTTTTGCATGAAAATTTCTCTGATACATTTTCTTGACCCATTTTTTTGATCCTTTTATCTGCTAATTTCCATACTTTGATCAATCAATGTACATTTAGATCAAAATATTTTGAGAGTCTTGAGTGGTTGACTTCACAAGGAAAAGAACACATGATCCGGTAATTTTTTGTAGGTGGGTGAAGAGAATTGTGGATGAAATTCCTGTGAAGCTTGAGATTTTTTGTTGTCTTTCCTTTTAATACAATCCCCACGTTTGTGCCTTCCTTTCTCTTTTTAATCACCAATGAGAGCTCTCCTTTTTTACCAAAATTTTAAACAGTTTGCCGGAGATTGTTCCCTTTTGATTCTGAAACAAACATTATGAACTGCTGTTTCTTGGTAGTCGTCTTTCTAGCCATATATTCCAGGTACCATCATGTCTCCTGTTAGGACCATCTAGCAAAGCTGTCCATGAATCCTGGTGATCTGTTAGAGGATAAGAATTTTAATCATTGGATCATATAATATTAGCTGTAATCAAACATTTTTTTGTCAATCATCTGCACATGAGGGTTAAAGAATAAAGAAATAGAAATTTTGAGAAAAATGTTAAGAGCATGCATACCTTGAACTAACCGCCCTTAATTATTAATTCAAAAATGTCCAGCTCTAGGAGTCCCCTTTCTTTTCTTCTTCTTCTTTTTTTTTTTTTTGTGAAACTCAAAAACACACTGACTCTTCTATTGAATGAGATGAAAGCTTTTTCTTTTGTTGTATTTTTCAGGAGAACTGAATGGAGGGTGGCCAGAGAGGGTCCAACAGAGAATTGACGTCAGCACACATATTTGTCAAAACCATTAACAACATTTCTGAACCAGAAAAGCAAATTAACTATTGAACTCACCAAAGGACAAAAGTGTTCAGTTTCTTTTTTCTTTGTTTTAGTAATTTTTAATATTGGGATACTCAACAAGAATATTATGGCCTCTTTTCTCAAATCCCATCCCACTTGCCCCAAGGTTTAACTTGAGACTTTCAATATGAGGATTTATGCTATTAATCATTGAGATATCCTTAAGAGGGCACCAGTGTTTAGCTTCTTTTTTAACAGAATTATTTTGTTAATTAATAGGAGATGCCCTTTCTTTTGAATTCTGAATATATATCCAACCTAGTTTTTCCAATTTGTATACAATCAGAGGAAAGCACGAGCAGAGGACAGCCATACATTCACCAGTCCTACAGGCCCACCAGCCAGAAAACCCGGGCAGTAGGGTACTCTTATTGGTTCAAGGATTGAAAAACGGAGCCTATAAGGTTCAACTTCAGGGGCAACATTGCCGGGTATCCCACCACCACCAGCCAAAATAGAGAACCTTGCAACAGTTCCAAGCAAATATCTTTTGGCAAGTCATTTTTAGAAGTGGTTTGGCTTTTGAAAGCAACTTGGGTGGAAAGCTTCCTTCCCATCCCACTTGTTTCTGTACCCTTGTGCTGAAGGCAATGAAGGTCCTGCAAAATGATGCTGTTCTTCAAAAGACTTGACAGTTTTCAACTTCTGCATTGCGCAACCTTTTCAACACAGCTATTCTGCTTTTTCATTGGGTTATCTAAATCTAATCTAAAGAAGTAAATCTAATCTTAAAAAAAGAAGTACATGGGAGAAACAGGCCCCTCTTGGATTTGCTACACTAAGTCTCCCCTGCCTAGTTTTTTTTTTTTTTTGGACAAGGATAATGGTTAGAGATTAGTAAGGTTTGAATTGTTAATGAGAGGTATTGAACCTGGATAAAGAGTGTACTCCATCGACTGCCTTTTTGGGTAACAGGAGCCATAGCCACAGCAGGAAAATGCAGGAAGGGATGGGGATTGAATCCCACACTCAAGATAAGATACCCTTTAACCAATAATTAAGTTGTCACTCGGGTCACACGGTTTTTTTGCCCAGTTTTTTTCTCTGTTATAAATTATAATATGGCCTTTTGGTCTTTTTAGAAAAATATTTATTTAGTTTTCCTGTTAATTCCTGAAGTTCACCCTTTACCCTTCCCTGTCTTTCCAATGAGGAGTGAAATCAGTTTTTAAATTTGTCTGCCAATCCAATTCATTTTTCTCTTTTGCCCCTTAAGTTATATTCCTATTCATGTCTCCAGTTTGGGTTTTTTTGTCTTTTGCGTCAAAATAATGATGCTTCTTTGTTTTACTTATTATTGTTATTTTTTTAAGAAATGCTGCTTTTTTTTTTTTTTGTTCTTCAGTTGTTTTCCTGTTTGATGCTTGCTCTGTGGGTTCAACAATGGGATTCAGGCTTTTTCCTTTCCATTTTAGAGTTTTCTTGGTTATGCCTTTTTTTCCTGCTTGGATGTTCGACCGGTTGCAAAATAAGGAATTCATTTCATAATTCTTTACCAACACTCAAATTTGGTTCTATCTTTGTGTCATTCTGAAGAAATGATCAAGTGGAATTTGGGAAGACTAGGGTTAATTACTAGCAAATCCTATGCTCTCTCTGCTCTCTCTCCCCTGATAACTGCAAATGCCCTTTTCTCTTGCTCATCCCTTATCTCCGATCTGTTTGGCTTTTTGTCCCTTGTTCTCACAAATCTATCTCCAAATGAGGTGATTAGATCTTTTCTTTCCGACTTTCATTTCATCTCTAAATGAATATTCTTGAAGACTAATGATGAGAGAACAAAAGTCAAAATTAATAATACAACATAAATTATATTATTAAATGAATTAACGTATATAATATTATAAATTTAAAAAATAAAAAAAATTAATTTTTAAATTATATAAAATTTATTTGTTAATATTTTAAATAAAATAATTTATATCATACCACACATCCTCTTTATGATTATATTGCATTGAAAGCTAGGGATGGCAATGGCCCCTGTGGGGTTGGGTGTGTTGCATCCCATCCTCATTCCCATGTATCGCAAGGACGGAAATTTCCACAAGAATTTTTTATGGGTAGAAGCTGTCCCCATCCCTGTTGCTCGTGGAAATTTAATGTCTCACCAATTTATATTATAAAACCCTAAATTCACAGTATCGTCTCTTTCATTTGCAAACCAATCTGAGATAAGAACATCTCTACTCCCCCCACTCCCGCTTCTTTCATTTGCTAGGAAAAGAGAAAGTCCCTGTGGGGTGCGATATAATTACAATTTAAACAAACACATTCTTCTTACTGCTTCATATCATCTCGGCCTAACTTTAACTTGAAGAAATTTTGTTAAACAAAAATAATAATATAATAATATTATATATAAAAAATAATTTATTTACATATAAATTTTTATATTATATTTATATAAAATTTTAATTATTTATTTTTTTATTTATAATAATTAAATTTTATTATAACTTTTTAATAAAAAATAATTTTATATAAATATAATAAATAAAATTAAAAATTAAAATTTTATATAAATATAATAAATAAATTTTATGTATTTTGCTCTATATAAAATTATAAATTTATAATTACACTATATTAATATGTAATTAAATATTTTTATTGTAAAACTCACCACAATATTTGATTGCATCCACTCCTAAAATAGGAAAACCTTGAACTTATTTCAATTTTTGGTAAATGAAAACAAGAATGATAATCAAACTTAAGAAGTGGATTGGCTGGTAAAAAACAGAAAAACTTAGGAAGTGGATTGAAGAACATATTTAATTTTGTGTTATTTTGTATTCACACAATTTGAAGATAACAAAGCTATTGAAAATTTTAGAATGTCATACATTTTAGACAGCAATAGTATGATACTATGATTTCTTTTCACAACTTCTAAGGAGAGACAAAAAGCAGAGATGCGTGGAAAGATAGCATCTAGCCAGAGATTTCAATAGCCTTGATCTCAGGCTTCTTTTCCTCCTCCTTCGGGACGGTCACGGTCAGCACACCATTCTCCATACTAGCCTTGACCTCATCCATCTTTGCGTTCTCCGGCAACCTGAACCTCCTCAGGAAATTGCCGCTTCTCCTCTCCACCCTGTGCCACTTGTCGTTCTTCTCCTCTTGCTCCTTACTCCTCTCTCCACTTATCTGTAGCACTCTCCCTTCTTCCACCTCCACCTTCACCTCTTCCTTCTTCAGCCCAGGAAGATCCGCCCTGAATATGTGAGCTTCTGGGGTCTCTTTCCAGTCAATCCTGGTGCTGACCAATGAAGAGACTTGGCGCGCAGAGGATGGTGTATTGGCGAGAGCGCTGGAATATGGAAAACCCTCAAGAGCGTCCCAGATATCTAGAGAAAAGGGATCGAAAATGTTGCTCCTTCGACTGCCGAAAATGCTAGGAATCAGAGCCATTGTCGTGTTTTTTTGGATGAGCGTGGAAATGGAGGATTTGATGTTTGTTTCTGAGACTAATGCTTTGTGTTGATTCTAATCTTGATAATGGAGGAGGACATTGGTGTCGTATTTATAGGGTGCAAGAGAAGATTCTGGTACGTTCTGGTGTCTGAAACTCCCATGGATATTGGAAGAAGGGTCTAGAATTGGAGAAGGAAAGAAAGACGGCAACAGAAAGTTCAGTAAGCTTCCAAAATATTCTGGTATGTTCTTAGTTGGGCTGTTCCTAAATCAAATCCAATTTACGGCCCGGCCTTAAAATTTTGAATAGATAGCAGACTCAAGCCTAATGGGCTTGATTCACTAAAATAGAGAATTATCATTTTTTATTAAAATAACTTTCGAGTTTAATAAGATGAAAAGATATAATGTATTCTTTATCCTTCCTTAGATACATCACCATCATATTTCAGCTTACAAAAACAGAATTAATCAACCAAACAAGTTCTCAATTTCTAATTTTAATTTTGAAAATGAAAGCCAAACAGTTTACCAGTTTTCTCCTTTGACTTCAACTTTGGAATTTGGTTTTCTTCGAAATTTTAACAAAGAGGTCATATTGTTCATTGGTTTCGTCGATTCCATTTTACAACAATTTTTAAGTATGTACAGAAGAATAAACAAATGGAAACTCAATACAGATGTTAACGTAGTTATGCAACTTTTTGGCAGGTACCCGTACACATCACCGTACCACACACGCCTGCCTGTGTTAAAACTAAGACTAGCGGTTTCCACAGTTTATTTAGTTATTTGCTTGGAGCTGAATCACTCGCCAGCTGTTAACTCTCTTTCAAGTTCATCAAATTCCCAGCCACCGATCTCTTCAGTTGAGTAGTCTCGACCAGAGTTCCCAAACTCGGACTCTAGTTTTGCTATTTCCACTTCATGATCTAGTACGAGCTCTGCCTCGGCTGCAGGATTCTCAGTATTTGCCTCTCTATCAGATTTTAGAGTTGTCGGCAATTTTGGGGCAGCAGATGGGCTTGCTGGTGCTTTCTGGCTAGATGGAGAATAAGCCTCTGGCAGTGGCGCTTCGATTTCTAAATTTGGCCGCTCAATAGATTCAAACTTCCCTCTTAACTTCTCAATTTCATCAAATAGCTCTTTGATCCTTGCATCATCCTTCCTGAATCAGGGAGCAGGGATTTAAGTAACTACACTAGGAATTGGAATTTGAAATAATGCCACAGAAGGTTTGTAGCCATTGCAAATTTGCAATCAACATTGTACACAGGAAAACAATGAATGAGAATGGAAAGAAAAGGAATGTCTTGCCTGGAACTTGCCCCATGCTGAGAATAAAACAGCTCTTTCATGTTATCCACAACACTGAAGGTGGTTATAATCTGAAAAAAAAGAGAACAACAAATAGATAGTTCCACCATCTAATGCCTTGATGTCATTTCTTTAAGAGCTACAAACCATAAAGCAAATTGCTAAAGAAGTTGACATTGATGGCTTTCCTCAACATTAAATTAGATCAGCAAATTTCCAAGGCCAAAATTGGGAGATAATTTAAGAAAATGAATGAGAAAGCAGAACTTGGAATAAAACATAAAATGTACAACAAACAAGCTTCAAAACATGTTATAGGAAGAAAGGGAAAAGGACAGGAAAAGGTGCTGTAAAATAAGAACAATTCATCATGTGGTAACTATAAATGCCTAAGCCATTGAATAAAAATAAGAAACAAGTTAATACCTTGGCTTCATTTTCAAGATATTCCTCCTCAAGATGTTTCCTTGGATTTAATTCTTTAGAATCCTCATTACCTACTATAGGTGTCATCTCTGACCTGTCTCATCAGCCAGAAATAAATTAGCAGCTACAAGAAGAGCTTGGAAGTTGGAACCATTTACATTGAACAGTGCAATTACCTCTCACTTAGCTTCTTCAGATTCTCAACAAATTTCTCAATATGGATGATGGAAGGACCCAACTCTTCCTGCAAAGAGTAGGATTTGAGAGAGATAGAATCATTCATAGATTTAGAGTATCATGGTAAACATGCTTTGAACTGAATAGAGTGAGTACCTTATAAGCAAAGAGGAGACTAAGGGCCAAGTTAACAAAATAATCCTCATGTCTCTCCAATTCATC